CCAGTTACCACAGGAGGCAGCCACTTGGGAGGACGAGGACGCACTCGAAACCTGGAACGGAGGGGTCTCTCCACGCGATACAAGGGAAGGAAAAAGGGTTGGGGAAGAGGTACTCTATTCTCGCGGCGCAAGGAAAGGAAAAGGGGTTGGGGAAGAGGAGCTCTATTTAGAAAAAAAGCATATACAAGACTCTGTTGGAATGCGCAGTGAGATAGATGACCATGCCCCTTTCAACGTTCAAAAGACACTTAATGATCCAACCCACTCAGCTGCCCAAGACATTAATGCTCCCAACCACTCCACTGCACCTAGTCAGTCTCACACGCTGCCCGAAGCATCACATGGGGAAGCTGTCATTAGCGCTGCAGATGATCCTTTAGGAGCCAATCCGGTTTCAAGCGACGGATTTCGGACCAGTAACATTGCTCCACCTCAACCTGATCCACAACTTACTCCACCTACAATATCCACCGTTGATCGTGTTGATGATGGAAGGCATTGGACCAGCCCCGCGACGGATGAGCTTGGGCTTGAGGACAAGCACTTTTCTGATGGGCAAGGGAGTGTAGCGGACCCAGTTCATGCAAGGCCCAAACGCATGCCAAAGCCACCAGCCCATCTCAAGGATTATGTTTAACTGCCTTATTATCTAGGAGTCTTTAATCTATTTTAATAATTCCATGCAATTATCCGTTTGTTAGTTAGTTGTGCTAGGATTTGTTATTATCTTCAGTTTGTTATTTATTCGTCGATTAGATGTTAGCTGGCAATCCTTAAGCCAGAGGCTGTTATTTTGTTTTGTTATTTTGTTTGTTATAAATATCTTGGAAAAAGATCAATGAAAGCATGGAAAGTTGATCACAATTCTTCTCTCTCAAATTCTCTCATCTTGTTTCTATCCTTCCCCAATAAATTGCCCTTCAGTATAGCTAGCGCCCGGAACCTCAGGACCAGGCCAAATATAAATATGTATATATACTAATATTTCGAATAAATCAAGTCAGTAAAAAATAGAATTAAGATTGTTAGTCATTTAATTAAGTTTCTTAGGTTTCTAATTTAATTATAAACCAAGTTAGTTCACTAAATTGTAAATGATCTCTACTGCTAATTAATCAAGTTAATAATTAATCCATTTGCGGTAACATGTGGTCATTGAGATGCAAAGGATATAGAAGTAGCTAGCAATGACAATTAAATAATTCGATAGTGGAAATTACATCATTCCGCGTATTAAGGCCGTTCGTCGTTAGCTGCCCAATTATGTAAAAAGGAAAAATAATATAAACACATACACATATGTTGCGTAGAATCGGCAAGTGCACCGATCGTACCAAGTAATAATAATGATGAGTAGAGTGTCGTCTCCACGAAGATTGAGCACCTAAGTTATTATAATTATTCCTCTCTTGTTGGATTAATAAAATTGGTTTAAGGACAGTTGTGGTTTATGAAATAAACGAAAACAATTAAAAAAATGTAAATGATTCCAAAAGTCTTTTAGAATTCAAGAACAAAGAATAAAGGTTTAGAAAATATTTGAGAAAATATTGCGATAAAAAGACGTCAACACCTTTATGATCCCCACCTTGTAACTTGAATTAACGTTTACATTCAATTATGCAATTGATCAAACGATTCACTATCTTTTATTTAATTGGTTAAGCCTTAATTCCTTAATGATCTTAACCTTAACAACCCTATTAGAATCATAATCCCTTAGAAATCCTTTTTTAAGTTGAGCCTTCGAATCAGCGAATCTTTTACGTTTGCGGTTCATGTAGCCTATCCCTAGTGCATACATGAACAGTTATCTTACCTCTTGTCAGGAATTAGAATTCTAATATTCCTATTGAAAACCCTAACCCTCGCAATCCTAAAAGAGTGATCAGTTCTAGAAGAATTATAGATGAAGAACAAGGTAAAATAACCTCAATTAACATAGATGAATATAAATTTAACCAAATCACAAGAGGTTCACATCAAGGGTTGTGACCCTTACCACAATGATTAAACTAGCCAGACATGTTCATGTTTGACAAAATAACAATAAAAGAAAATAGCATTTAGAACCTAAAAGAGAAAAGGAAGATGAAGCTCTTCCGTCTTGATGATCGAATCCTTGAATCTCCCCGAAGCTCCAAGGAATTCCCACTCTCTTTGTTGTTTTTCTCTTCTTAGTTGTCCAAAAGTCTTTCCCTCCTCAGTTTCTGATTCTTTTATTAGGTTTTGGAAAAACCTACTTTCACTTGCACTCCAACTGGGCCTCATTTTGGATAATTCGCATCAGATTGGAGTCAAAAATATATCGCCCACGCACTTTGCGCCAGGCCTAGCGCACCGTGCTTGGGAAAACAGAAGAGGAGCTTCAAAAATGGCACATCGTGCGTCGCCTCCCGCACTCCGTGCGCCTGGTTGGCGCGCAGTGGGCCGCCTCCCGCGCGTCGTGCGCCGCCTCCCGCGCACTGTGCGCCGGGTTGGCGTGTCGTGCTCCACCTACCGCGCACTGTGCACCGAGATACAGTAGCAATTCGTCCAAAATGGCGCGGGGTGTGCCAGGTTCCGCGCACCATGCGCCGGTCCCGTGCGCCGACTTCAGCGCGTCGTGCGCCAGCAGGAAACTTGACTTCTCCGTTTTTGCTCCTTTTGTGGCGTTTCCTGCTATTAAAACACATAACTTGAGTGAGAGCATGATTGAGAAGGAATAATCAATATTTCTTGCTTTTAATGACTATTTTCACACATTTATGATTAATTCCTTACTTCTTTTAAGTTAGAAAGCATCACAGTTGCCTCCCAATCAGCGCTTGTTTAACGTCACGAGCCTCCCAATAGTGGAAATTACATCATTCCGCGTATTAAGGCCATTTGTGGTTAGCTGCCCAATTATGTAAAAAGGAAAAATAATATAAACACATACACATATGTTGCGTAGAATCGGCAAGTGCACCGATCGTACCAAGTAATAATAATGATGAGTAGAGTCTCGTCTCCACAAGGATTGAGGCACCTAAGTTATTATAACTATTCCTTTCTTGTTGGATTAATAAAATTGGTTTAAGGACAATTGTGGTTTATGAAATAAATGAAAACAATTAAAGAAATGTAAATGATTCCAAAATTCTTTTAGAATTCAAGAACAAAGAATAAAGGTTTAGAAAATATTTGAGGGAATATTGCGGTAAAGAGACGCTAACACCTTTATGATCCCCACCTTGTAACTTGAATTAACGTTTACATCAATTATGCAATTGATCAAACGATTCACTATCTTTTATTTAATTGGTTAAGTCTTAATTCTTTAATGATCTTAACCTTAACAACCCTATTAGAATCCTAATCCCTTAGAAATCCCTTTTTAAGTTGAGCCTTCGAATCAATGAATCTTTCACGTTTGCGGTTCATGTAGCCTATCTCTAGTGCATACATGAACAGTTATCTTACCTCTTGTCAGGAATTAGAATTCTAATATTCCTATTGAAAACCTTAACCTTCGCAATCCTAGAAGAGTGATCAGTTCTAGAAGGATTATAGATGAAGAACAAGGTAAAATAAACTCAATTAACATATATGAATATAAATTTAACCAAATCACAAGGGGTTCACATCAAGGGGTTGTGACCCTTAGCACAATGATTAAACTAGCCAGACATTTTCATGTCTGACAAAATAACAATAAAAGAAAATAGCATTTAGAACCTAAAAGAGAAAAGGAAGATGAAGCTCTTCCGTCTTGATGATCGAATCCTTGAATCTCCTCGAAGCTCCAAGGAATTTTCACTCTCTTTGTTGTTTTTCTCTTCTTGGTTGTCCAAACGTTTTTCCCTCCTCTGTTTCTGATCCTTTTATTAGGTTTTGGAAAACCTACTTTCACTTGCACTCCAACTGGGCCTCATTTTGGGTAATTCGCATCAGATTGGAGTCAAAAATATCTCACCCACGCACTTTGCGCCAGGACTGGCGCACCGTGCCTGGGAAAACAGAAGAGGAGCTGCAAAAATGGCGCACCGTGCGCCGCCTCCCGCGCGCCGTGCGCCGGGTTGGCGCGCCGTGCACCGCCTCCCGCGCATTGTGCGCCCGGGTTGGCGCGCCGTGCTCCCCCTACCGCGCACTGTGCGCCGAGATACAGTAGCAATTCGTCTCAAATGGCGCGGGGTGCGCCAGGTTCCGCGCACCATGCGCCGGTCCCCCGCACCGTGCGCCGACTTCAGCGCATTGTGCACCAGCGGGAAACTTGACTTCTCCGTTTTTGCTCCTTTTGTGGCGTTTCCTGCTATTAAAACACAGAACTTGAGTGAGAGCATGATTGAAAAGGAATAATCAATATTTCTTGCATTTAATGACTATTTTCACACATTTATGATTAATTCCCTGCTTCTTTTGAGGTAGAAAGCATCATATGCTAGACGCGCATCAACATAATAATGATTTTTGTTTTTTTTTCTGGAATAAAAATGGTGGCAAAGTGTGCAACAGCTCCGAGATAAGAGAGAGAAAAAAATGTATAATTTTTAAATGAGTGATTGTGATCAAATAATATAACTATTTTTTCATATGAGAAAATCCATTTCCATTAACAAGATACTTCTTGGGACCTAGCCAACCGCAGCTAGGGCAATCGGATACACATAATAATGATATTAATATTGGTATTGTAATGCAGATCCATTTGCCAGTAAATATTATCTAAATGAATAATACCAAAGATGTTGAAAGTGTTTTTGGAGAGGTAGAGGACCCACCCCACCCAACCTTTAGGAGCAGCAAGAAGGTAATGTAATTAATAAGTTTTTACAGCAAGTCTCAGTTCATTCCCCCTTGGAACTGAAACTATGAGTTGTAAGCCTTAAAATCACATCGTGGGTGACACGTCATAAAGAACCAATGAGGGCAATACGGTAAGAGAAGTTTTTGGGATTGTGTTAAAGTGAATAGTATTTGGGTGGAACAACTGGAAAGTATACTAAAGTTGCATTGATCCTTCGCATTTCTTGTTAGCAACTTGACTGAGATTACTTCCTTTTTGCTCACTATAAATAGCCCCCCACTCTTCACATAATTGTAAGAGAGATAAGATAATAACCTGAACCGAGGGTTTTCACTTGGAGAGCAACTACCATTTCCTCATCCAAAGAGAGTGACAAAAATTAAGAAAGAGAACAGTACTACTCCAAAAGTTTAATCAGATTCAAGAAAGATGGCCATTCACCACGAGTCTTTGGCTATTGTTTTCGGCCTTCTAGGTAGATACTAACTTGCTATAGCCCTACTTTGCAGCTTTCGATTCTTTCACTAGCGTAGCTCTATCTCTATCACGTACTATTTCTCATCATAGTCGCAAATATATTATTTACTAACATAAAACAGGGCCAGCACAAAACAGTGGCAAAGTTGCTCCCATTGTAACTGAAAAGTTACGGATTCAAATCCGAGCCACAATTTTTTTACAAATATGTAAGAGTAAGATTGGGTATAAGTATTACCCTCATTTCTATTATTGCTAATCGAGGTTTATTCAGGAGTGATTTATATAAATTAGCATCAATTTTTTATTGTTTCTATTATTTATTACTAATTTACTATCATTGCAATTTCTAGTTTAAGAGAACATGATATCTAGAACCATATGTGCCATGCAGATTGCATGGCATTTTTCTAATTTCGAAGAATGCTAAGAAGCAACCCTAACGTAGTTAGTTTGGTAACAAGAAATATAATTATAACTATTCAGGAAGTTTCTCAATTATAGTTTTAGCATGGAGAATTCAGGAGTAAATTTATCTGATAATATTTGAGGTTTATCGATTTCTAATTTTGCACTACTGAAGATCGCAAATCTGTTGGTAGAAACTAAAGTTTGTTACCATTTATTCGCAAGTACTGACGGATATTTTTGTATTTTTTTTGCTGACTTATAATAGGCAACGTCATCTCCTTCATGGTGTTCCTTGCTCCATTGTAAGTGATGATATTTTTCGCTTTAGCGTGCTCCTCCTGATTTATGAATTAGCATATGATTATCCAATGAAGTAGTATATTAACTATACATTAATATTTGAGTGCAGACCAACATTTTACAAAATCTACAAGAAGAAATCTACCGAAGGGTTTCAGTCACTTCCTTATGTTGTTGCATTGTTCAGTTGTATGCTTTGGATTTATTACGCACTCGTCAAAAAGGACGCTACCCTCCTTCTCATCACCATTAACTCCTTTGGATGTGTCATAGAGTCAATTTACCTTGCCGTATTCCTAATTTACGCCTCAAAGAACACCAGGGTATTCATCTAATTAATAACTCTCATTCAAGACTTTCTTTCTTTTTCTTTCTCTTTTATTTTTTTCTTGCATAAAAAATTAATCATTGTTCCTTTTCTTTTATGCCACAGTTTTCAACCATCAAGCTTCTTCTCTTGTTGAATGTGTGTGGGTTCGGAGCGATGCTTCTTTCAACCCTCTACCTTACAACGGGATCCAAACGTCTTTCTATTATAGGATGGATATGCCTGGTTTTCAACATAAGCGTATTTGCTGCTCCTCTTTGCATTATGGTGAGAATTTATCATAATCAACCTTTTTGCAATATTTTTTTCCACATGTGCTAAAGGATAAATTAAATTCTCATAATTAACATGTGCAGAAACTCGTCATAAAGACCAAGAGCGTGGAATTCATGCCGTTTAGTTTGTCCTTCTTTTTGACCATAAATGCTGTCATGTGGTTCTTCTATGGTCTTCTCCTCAAGGACTACTACATTGCTGTAAGTTCAACTCTACACTACTACATACGGCTAGGAGCATATTCGTATTATTGACCTTTGGACTCTTGTCTTATTCCTATTATTAAAAGGCTTTCTTTTTTCACTTTTCTCATTTCTTTAATTTGTAGATCCCTTAACTTTTCGTTATGCTTTGTAAGGGTCTAAGGGATAATGCCAAGTTCATTATAACGAAATTAAATGTGTGGTACTCCGTTAATGTTGAAATCCCATGACAAGAATTAACGTGGCCCCATATTCTAATGCATTATTTTTTATTTATTTTTTTGGTAGACTATTCTAATGCATTATTATTTAATAAGAACAAGTTTATTTATATAAGTGTAAAGCAATTCAATTTGATTCCTTTCTTTTTTTTCTTGGATTGAAGAAAATAGAATAATAAATAAATATTTGACCTACCAAAAAAAAAATATGATTTAATATTTGCTTTTGGATGATGCAGCTCCCAAATACGCTTGGATTTCTGTTTGGCATAATTCAGATGGTGATGTATTTGATATATAGAAACGCCAAGACAGTGGCACTTGACGAGCCAGTGAAGCAGCAGGAACTAAATGGCCATATCATTGATGTTGTGAAGCTGAGCACAATGGTGCCCTACGATCCAAATCATATAGCTAAAGGTGGTGCTGTCACTGTGACAGCTGTTGAGGATCCAATTGGAAAAGAAGAAACAGGAAAGGGTAACCATAATAATATGGATTTCGCTGGCAAGGTGTGATTAATTAACCTATGAAAAAATCCAAAGAAGATAAGAAACGAGGTCCAAAATAATTTAACCTAAAAGAGCAATCACTTTACTTTGCCGAGTGGGGCCTTATCTCCTTTCATATCATGGAAATGCAATTGATTAATGTATTTGCATGAATGGGTGTAGCTGTAATTTTCAGTGACTCAATTATATATGTTATGATGCTTAGCGTCTCTTTGGCCATGTCCATCACTATTAGGTAGTAGGAAGCGAGTAACGTAGGATGTTCTCTCTATTTTCAATGTGTCCCTCAGTCAAACTCGTCAATTCTCTTTTTCCATGTTTGCGCAATCTATGTTCATGTGATGGGAATTAATTATTTTACTGATTTTGTAGTCTATGATTAATGGGGACGTACGCTTTCACTTTAATATGCTACAATCATCGTTATCCGAATGCTTATTTTATACGTTATTGTTATATCCTCGTAATTAAATAATAAATAAAGCGATATAGAGAGTGGGGTTTTCTATTCTCTTTTATGATGTCAATAAAAGGCAATACTAAAAAGTAAAGATGTATGTCTTTATGATTGTAATATACTAATCCGGTCTGATTCCATTCTATTCATCAAAAGAAAACGTTTTAAACAAACCTATGCCAATTATTTGGAATTACTAAGATTAGACGGCCAAAACAATGATGGATTCTCAATTATAATTTACTTTGGGTTTGCTCAAAATTTCAACCCCGAGATACATGTGTAGCCTACAGGACATACAGTCAAAACAGAGGACAAGTGACTTCCCTAACACATCCTTTAAACATGAAATTTCTATATTTAAATATTTATTAGAAAAAACGAGGAGAGATAACTGATCCTTTGGTCACATGTGTCTCATAATACATAGACCTTTTTTTTTAACCTTGTGCTGATATTGATTTACTTTTCTGAATTATATTAGAAAACGGGGTGGCGACATTGAAACTCATAACTGTTTGGTCACAAATTTTGATAACATCGTCAAATAATTATTTCACCCAAAAGCTCAACTTATTAAGTGAATATCACTTTTAATGATTTTATATTATATTTCTTTAATATACATCACTGAACCTCCCGTCATATCATTTTGTAATCATGAAATTGCAACCAGATTAAAAGGAAAAATATTGATTTTTTTGAGTAAATATTTTTTTGGGTCCCTTACAAAAAATACGGTATTCACTTTAGTCCCTTACAAAAAAAAATTAGTCTGAAGATCCCTAAGAAATTCAAAATGGACCCATTTTAATCCTTTTAAAGGACTAATGTAGATCTTTTTTAAATTTGTGAGGGACTACAATCTCAATTAAATGGGTCCATTTTAAATTTTTTAGGGACCTCAGGAGTACTTTTTTTTGTAAGAGACTAAAATAGGGACCGTATTTTTTTCAAGGACCCAAAAGGATATTTACTCAATTTTTTTTTATATGTATAACCCAAAGGGGGAGGAAATATGATATTTTGTCAATAATATCAAATAACTAGAAACCAGACGAATTATATTGGCCTACCATATATTGTTTCGTGGTAACCTCGCAGGGTGGACATAATTAACGTCGCTGAATAAAAGGTATGTAGAAAGAAGAGATCTTGGATATCTTTTTCTATCCTTTCTTTTTCAATATCAAAATCTCCGTGGGAAAAAGATTGATCACCTATGTTCGTGCCATGAATTTGTGTATGCTTCTGATAAGATGTCGCATTCTAATCAAGATTATTGAAAAAATATGAAGGAGTTTGTCCCAAATGTCTTACAATATTGAAGTTTCTGAGTGGGAACAAGCTCAATTAATAGGAAACGGTTTGAGGAGGAAAATGCAAGAATAAGAATCACTAATAATTAAAAACATGAAACCAAAGAATGGGCCACAGAGAGTGAAAGATAATGAAGGAAAGGTGACTCGTGCGCCTCCCGATAAGCATTTGATAGCTTTACGCAGATGAGTGATCCAATGTCATTGTTAAAGTTGCCTATGATTGTATCGAAAGATAACATTGCCATACGTAACCGAATACAACACTTGGTTAGGTGGTTCCCATGCTCAATCCTACAATAAGAAGATGTGCCAGCATGCAAAGATAAGTTTGATGCAATAAAACACTTAATTGGACGACTTTAAAGCCTCTCAAACCCGTCTTCTTCTAATGCTTTATATGTTTCTATTCATACGTCACTGAAATGATATATAGGTGTAAATTACATGAGCATGACGCTGCCAACCTGCCACTTCGGCCATATAGATATGATTCATTTTTTTGCTTTTTAATGTTTTTCTCTTTTCTAGTGGTTAACCTCGACCCTATGCCAATGATTGCCTCATAATGTTGTCCTATATATATATATATACGATTTGGTTCATATTGATTTAAATTTTCAGTGACTAGCTAGGCGCTAGCGCAACACCATGTGCCATGCATCGATTTTGTGGCGGGCCTGGCTTAGCTCATGCTTTAATTCAATCATATCTTATCATTGCTCCTACTTTTTTTTTGTCTTTTCTGCTTACCTTGTTTTAAATGTATGAAATCATAAAATAGGATTACATGAAATTAGAACACCAAAAATTTTAAACTTACTTATTGAATACATGATTCTTAATTTCTTGAAAGATTATATTTCTTCTTCTTACTTGCTCCGATGTTCCAGCAATGTTTGAAAGACTATGATCTTCGTATGTAGTTCACATCACTCCTTGATCACAACTGTCGATAGGGCAAGTTGTGGAGCGACTTTTTTTTCACATACTGTGAATGCAGAGGGGACCTAGTCAAACTTAGTAGCCCTAGTCCTCTTCCCATCATGGGCCTATGGGTTACGCCTATACCGTTACCCACACTTATCAGTGTTACGTATATCCAAGCCCAAACCAAAAGATCACTTAATTAAATAGACTTTATATTGCATCCCAATATGAATCATGATTTAGCTTGTTTTTATAAAAACAAGAAAAACTACAATTGATTGAAGCCCACAATAATTAAAAAAAATCTAACATTAAACGCTTCGCCTTGTCCTTAGATATGGATGGCAGGAGGCTGAACATCGGACGCTTTGGAATGATCTCCAGCTTCTTACCCCTTCGGATAATGAGTCTTGGGTGATACTTGGAGATTTTAATACTTTGCTCCATAGCCACGAGAAGAATGGTGGTGTTGCTTTCTGTAGAGGGAGTGCACAAGAAATGAAGGAATGCTTTGATGATTGTTACGTGGAAGACATTAGGTTTAAAGGGCCAAAATACACGTGGAAACGAAGTAGGCTTCAAGAAAGGTTGGACCGAGCTGATGCTAATGAGGCCTGGAGCTTAGCTTGGCATAGTAGCTTCTTAAGTCACCTCCCTTATTTTAACTCGGACCACAGGCCCATCCTCCTTATGGATGGCATCCCATCCACGGGTCCAAGAGGTAACAGACCCATTTAGGTTCTTAAATGCTTGGTTGACCTATGAGGATTTTGAGCCCATAGCGAGTAGTTGTTGGCCCATTAATTAACAAGGACTGGGTCTTAGCATCCAGGGAATTTATGTTAGAGGCCTGTCTTTGGCATTCCAGGGACTTTCAGAGCGCAAGCCATGGGAAAACATTGTCTTTTTGCGAGACTCAATGGGATTGATTGTCAACTTGATATCCAATACAGCAGTAGCCTGATCAAACTTCAGAAAGAGCTTTGGAATCATCTGGAATCGATTTTAATCTGCGAAGAACTTGAATGGTCTCAGAATTCTCATTGTAACTGGACCAATCTTGGATACAAGAATACTAGATTTTCTCATGCCAATGTAATGTGTAAGAACTCGCACCGTTAAATTAGGAATTTAATTATGAGTTAAGAGATAAATTCCATAATTAACCTTGAATAATTATGAGAGAGCTTAAATAATTATAGTAAGTTATTAATAATGTTGAAAGTCTCTTTTCTGACGAAAAGTGCAGATACTGGTTCTGTCTCACGGTATAAATGCGTACCGATGAAGTATCCCGGAAAATTATGAAAAATATGTATATATCACTAGAACAATATCTAGGACTAGTATAACAAGTTTTGAGTCAAAATAATGAGAACTGACGTCAGGACTGATACCGGCTACGTAAAAGCGCGTACCGAAAAAATGCTGCGAAAATTATAATAAAAATATGAAAAATCCTAGAAAAATGGCTAGGTTCAGAATCTAAAGTTTGGGATTAAAATGATAAGCGTAGCTATTAATAATGCTAATACAATGTGATTAAACTTAATACTACTATATAAGGGGGAGGCACGGATTTCTAGGTCAGAAATCTCACACCCTACGTGCCTCCATTCTGAAGCTTAGTGTCTCCCAAGCTTGTCACCTCTTCTTCTCTTCAACTTGTGAACCAAGTGAGCATTTTCTTTCAAGTTTCTTCTTTCAATCACCATAGATGTTGTGAGTAAGCCTTGGGAGGTAGAGTGACACCACTTTCTGAGTGTTCAACCACTGTGTTGAGTGTGTGAGGATGATACCTTTGGTTGTGGGGTTGGGAAACCACTTTCTTGGGCCATTGTAGCTCCAAGGAGCTACCTTGTGAAGTAAAAGACCAACTTTGATGCTCATTTTCGTGGTCCTTAAAGTCAAAACCATAGGAGCTGCATAGAGAGCTCCAAGAGCACTCATTTTCTGAGTTTTGAGCCTTGGGTAAGCTTCATCACCTTTGTTCTTGAATTTTCTTTGGAAAGAATGAACCTTGATGTATGTAATAAGTGAAAGTTGATAACTTAAGGGTTGATCAAGTATAACACACCTAAAAACGCATGATTGAATGTCTGGAACCCTTAAAAATGGAACCTTGAAGGGATATCTTCACGAAAATGCAGAACTGCATTCTGTCGCGAAATATCCGGATATGATATTCGGATATGGGACTTGTGATATCCGGATATGGATATCTGAATATGTCCCCGACAAATATCTGGATATTCTAGAAAAGTGCGAGTGGTCACTGTTCTGTTCATACAGAATGAGATTTTGGGTTTGTGAACCCATGATTGGTTAAGTTGAACCTCTGTAGTAATTAATCTAAGTCAGAATCAGATGGATTAAGGGCCTATGGCTTTGTGAGAAGCCTAATGGCATGAAACATAAAAGGAAAACGTTGTCTTTATGTCATAAACTTTAGATTATGAATGTTGAAATGATTACTGGTATTAACAGACTGTGAGAGTGTTGTTTGTTGACCTTGGACTGGGTTGGACTCTTGAGTTGGATAGATAGCTTGTGAGGTAAGCTTTCGTGCTCTCGGTTTTGCCCATTGTTGGTTCCACCGTACCTCATGGGGGGATGGTTTATATGCATGATGTGTTTTCACGAAATGATATTTATTGAAATGCTATTGAGTTGTTAAGTGCAAGTGCCTTATGACATGTATGTGTTGTTTCACCTAGACGGTAAGCCTGAGTATATAGCGTCATACAAGATGGTGATTCTGTGGGTGAGGTACAAGTAGCGTCTTGTACTGTAGGTTGTAGATGTATGTAATTCCTGCATGTTTATTCTCTGGCCAGCAGGATATTGACACACATGACATGATTATATGCTGCATTGCACAGATTTTGGAACTTATACTTTTTTACTGCTTTTGAACTTATATTGCACATGTAAGTGAGCTTGGGGTAGAGAGATCCTTGAGGATCCCTTGTCTTACTGAGATTTCTTTTTAGAGATCTCACCCCACGTTTGCGGCACACTTTCAAGTTCAGGTACCTCAGACGGCAAGAGGCCGGAGCTGAGCTAACTGATATATGCTTGATGATTTAGTTACCTTATATGATCATGTCTGATTCTGCTGCTATGACTATTGTATTTGAGACTTGATGATCATGTTGTCTATTTGGTGAGCATGGGGATTGTCCATGCCACACTGATTATGCTTGTTTATTTAGCTTTGAGTTGTATAATTGTATCAGAATATTGTCCGGTCTACGTGTCGTAGATCCATGACTAGATACACAATTATATTATGAGGTTATTCAGTGTAGTTAGCTTTCATTGCAATGTATATACAGGAAATGTTTTGAAAAAAGATTAAGTAATCAACTTGGTTAATAATAATGACGTCAAAATGGAAAAGAAAAAGTTAGCTTCCGCATTTAATTGAGTTGCGCTTAATATCGTATCATGATAACAATTCGGGTATACACGGGGTGTTACATGATGGATAGGAGAAGAAAGAATAGGATCAAAGCTTTGAAGGATGAAGGGGAATTTGGATAACTAAAGAGCAAGATCTTTTTCAGCTTGTTACTGATTATTTCAAATCCCTTTTCAACAAAGACGTAAGCTTCAGAGATCAGTTCCCTTTGAAAGGGGTGTTTCCTCCTCTAGATAACCAAGTCATACAGGATATTGAGGGCTTACCATCAAATGACGAAATTTGTAGAGTTGTCTACTCAAAGGGAAATTTTAAGTAGCCAGGACCTGATGGGCTTAACACTGCATTTTTTCAATCCCAATGGAAGATTATTGGGCCCCCTGTTTGTAACCTTGTGAAGGAGGTTTTCATCAACCCTGAATACGTGACGAAGATTAACTAGACCCATATTTGTCTAATTTCGAAGACGGGGGCACCAAAGATGATCAAACAATTTTGGCCAATCAGTTTATGTAATGTTTCATATAAGATCATTACAAAATTGATCTCCAACAAGCTGAAGCAGATAATGCCTACTCTGGTGTCCGCAAATCAGTGCTGCTTTGTTCGTGGGTGACATAGCACTGACAATGTCATCATAACTCTGGAAATTGTTCATTCAATGAGAATAAAAAGGGAAAATTGGTTGGATGGCGATAAAAATTAAAGGTCCAGAATTCCACTACACACAAGTAAATTCTATAAATAAGAGATAAAGCCTACAGGCTATGATGCACGGACACGGACACGGGACACGACACGTCGACACGTTATTTCTAAAAAATGTCATATTTGGACACGTTGGGACACGTTTTGATATTAAATAAATTTTTTAATATATATAATATAATTTATATTTAATACATATAAGAGTCCATAATAAATCCTACAACCAATCAAATATTTAAATTTCATAACATAGATATAAAAAATAACAATTTTTCGTACTTTATTAATTTTTCATGTCAAATTTCATAACAGAAAAAAATTAATTTATAAATTATTTCTTTTATATTTAGTTAACAAAATAAAATTAAGATTTTTTTATAAATAAAAAAAAATGTGTCCGAGCGTGTCCAAACGTTACCGCGTGTCGAAAAAACGTGTCGGAACGTGTCCGAGAGTTGACCGCGTGTCCCCAAATATTGATCGCGTGTCGGAAGCGTGTTTGAGCGTGTTGGAGAGTGTCCGTGTCAGACACGTGTCCGACACGCCATTTCTCAAAAAAATTGCTTGTCCGTGTAATAGAGCCTACAGGTATGACACTTACTCTCTCTCATTACTTGTTATCACTTGCATACACACCACCTTTTTGGCAATGCTGTTACTCTTGTGTACAATGCTTTGCTTACCTCAAAGATATCTCCTTCATAGATACATAAGAGAGCCCTAAATTTAATGAGTTTTATTAATCTCATGTTAAAGGAGATAAGTTATCTCATGTCATAGAGATAAACTTGTGAGCTCCACCACCTGAAAAATAAAAAGAAAAGAAAAGAAAAAGGTGGCATAACTATCGAAGGGTGTGTAGGAGAGAAATTTATCACATATAACATAAGAGTAGTTTTTCCAAATTTAATATCAATACAGTAGTGTCTAACTAGACATCTCTATCCATATAATAAAATAGGTTGTGTATACATATCAATTTAAAAAGAAAATAAAATAAAATCCTCATATGATAATTTGGTCGCAAGGTTGTTTAAATTGTTTGTCGGCATGTCTTCCAAAAAATTCTATTTACACGTTATCTAGCAAGATTACATCAGTATTTTTAATTTCAAGTATAATACGAAAATTAAATTAAAAATTAAAAAAATTAAAAATATAAAAAAGATATGCATAATTAATTCAAAAAAATAAGTAAAACTAAAAAAAAAAAAAAAAAATTTAACATGTGTTATTGTTTAAGGTTGGGTAGACTAAGATTTAACTACTTTCAAGAAAACAACTCTAATTTAATATATAGAGATGAATTAAATTTATGCTTTTTAAAATTACAAATCAACTTTAATTAAAAATAAATTGTCTTTACATAAACATAAACAAAATTAAATATAAAAGAATTAAAATCTCTATAAAAACAACAATGAAAGTCAAAAAACGCTAGTGGTCACTTGCTCGGAATGCAGATTTCAAGGCCCGGTCAAGTTCGAGCCCATTCTAAGATGGTCAAACCTAATGCATCAAACTTGTATATAAAATATGAAATAAAAACTATTCTTCTACAATATGAGATTAATAAAACTCGTAGAACATAAAAGAAAAAATCTATTTACTGTTAAATTTTAATGAGTTAAAATCACAATATATATTAAATTAAAGGTAAATATACTACTATCTATCCACTTTTCAAACAAACCCGTGTATTAAAAAAAAAAAAAAAAAAACCTTAAGACACAAACTGTACTAGCCAATTCAATTAATCAGATCGTCAAGTTTAATTACTCTTTATTAACCAATTAAAATCATAATTCCAAAGTCTCCTTAGTCAATCTCTAATTCGATTTTTAAAACATTAATATAAACTATAGTGTAGAACAGAATCCCCACGTGTAAAACCAAAGCCACATGTCACTTTTACAAAAAAAAATTCTCCTTCAAATTCATGATCGTTCAATTCTACTGCCACATAAATTTAATCAACCTTATTATTCATATGTTCTAATTTTAGGAAGTTAGATTTCAATTCTATGCCATTTGACTTCATTTAAGTGATTGATATTTCTCAATTGAAACTTTTTTTTTTTCAAATTTTAATTAAAACAGCCGAATTTGTATTGATGGTCTTACCACATTAGCTGTTGCTAAAATCAAATTTTAAATTATTTCATGAATCACACAGGTGTTAGACCTAATTAAAAGTATACCAAATATTGAATCAAAAAAAAATATTTATATATATACCATATACCCAACCCCAAAATAATAATAATAATAATGTAAAGTTACTCCTTGCTAGATGATAAAGCTTGATATTGGTTGTAGAAATGTAACATCTATTTCTGCAGCCATTTTTTCCAAAAGTGTATCACATAATAGTAAACAAAAAGCAACGACCACTTACACTCAAACAATTTTCGGAATTGGTCCATACCATGGTTATCAAAATCGCGAGTTAACTCGTAAAATCGTACGATTTTACGAGTTTACTTTGTTTGGCGAGTTAAATCGGTAGTAAAATCGAAATTCTGAATAAACTCGTTAAAATCGCGATTTTACTGTGCAAAATCGCAAACTCGTACGATTTGGGACGAGTTAGCGATTCATGGGCAGTGATGTCAAAACAAAAAAAATTTGGACAAAAAATCGATTTGGCCCAAGAGAAAAACAAGAGGAAAACTTGGATTTAGAAACTCAAATTGAAGAAAACATGGTGGGAATCCAAAGTGGAGAAAACATGGTTGTAAATTTGGAAGTAGAAGAAATGGTTGAAGAACAAGTACAAGTTGCCGTGGGAGATGACGACGACGATGCTAACTTTGAGAATTTGATGAACTTTGTACTCTAAGCACTTAGTCTCTAAATTTTTTGTTATGAGTTTGTGTCTTTTTATTTATAATGTTAGTTGGATATTATTATATTTATTATATATTTTTAAAAGTAAAAACTTACGATTCGTGGCGATTTTATGATTTACGATTTTACTATCCCCTCACGATTTTACGTAAAATTGCGAGTTTGACAACCTTGGTCCATACTCTAAAATCCAGACAACTGTACAACATATGTCTAAATAAACTTGGCTTCCATGTTAAAGTCAGTATGTCGGCAAATGCAAAGCATTCCCCTTTAATAACACATGGGTTTGACCAAAAAATTGTAGTAAATGTGCACTAACAAAACATGTAGTCATCTTCAAATGGAAAACATCTGATGTTTCTTCCTCATCCTTTCCACCGCTAGGAGAAAGAATAAAAAAACAATAATAATAATAATAATAATAATAATAATAATAATAATGACTATTCATCTCCAGCGTCCCTTAATAACAGAAGATTAACTAACCTGTTCACTAACCTGCAGGACCAACTCATGGAAAACTCCCACGATGTATACATATCTTATGATCAACCAGCAGCATTTTGGATTTGAACGTCAAATAAAACGCTGTTGTATATTTGTTTGGAAGTGTCCCATGAAAAATATATTTAAGTTGTCTAGCTAAACTTCGCCCAATCAGGATATGGGCATTCATACATCCATCCAGGTCCAGAGTACCGAATACAATGTAGCCATAGACCTTCCTCATCGCCATCATATCTGCAATTATAAAAGGAAATTTAGTGATCAAGCTGTCTGAGATTCATAACTACAAGGACAGTAACTAGTCAGCATAGAATCGTCAGAATTACAAGTTCCCAAGTTACTGCATGCTTGCTATAAAACAAACCAAAATCTTACAATAAGCCTCCACATATTACAAATACAAAACAAAAATAAAAACATAAACAAACATAAAAACATAAACAAAAACAAAAACAAAAAAACAAAAAGAGTATACACGTAAAAAGTGTATACTTTAACCAATTGTTTTGTAAGGGTCAATATTGTTGCACTAAACAGACATTAAATATTTATTTGGATCAACAGTGACAGACTCTTTCTGCTACAAAAACAAACATAAGTAAATAGAGATGAACAACTATCTGCAACTTTAAGCTTCTAATTTGTTAAGAAATTATTTAACCTAATTCCAAATTCCTCATGTCCTAAGATCACAACCCTTTTATCACACCTGATAAACAGTAAAAACTGATATCATTTTGCATGCAGCATTGAACCATAAAAGTTTGTTTACCCTTCTCTAATTATGCTCCCTTGTGATGTAATAATGACAAGGCTTGACCACGAGAAAATCTAACTTCAACTAACTTATTATGATGCTCATTCTACTATAGACAGATAGGAAGGCTTGAGTGCGAGAAAATGTACTCTTACCTTTCTTTGAAAGTTAGCCATGCATCTTTGTCTCTTACAATTTACAATGCAAACGAGAAGCAAATATTTTGTCTTCTAAGATGAAGGGTTTCTTACCCTTTGGGTGCCAAATTTGGACAGTTAGTACACATGGGATCAATGCTAAAATCCCCATTGGAATTTTCTTCACATTCATTGAGCACTTTTTCATCAAAATTTGATATTAGAGAAGCATCAGATGTGCGAGCTGATCTATCGGCACTTGACCCTTTAATCGATCGATCAACAATCTTTTCTGAGATGTACAGCATGTCATTGGCTATTGGGTGTCCTGAATACTGTAAATGAACGCGTATCTACACCAGAGGTTAGTATTTGTTAGCACCTCTATTTATATTAGTAACAAGTTGGACAAAGATAAGTGGAGGATGTCTCTGGTTCATAGTTGACTTAACATTTTCAATTGCATATGTGGTTCTTATTCCATTTCCTTTATTGCCTCTCTTTTCCATCAGTTGTATCAATGAAACAATGACAAGCATACATATGGCTACACAGTGACAGCATGGCTAGCATATGCCTTATTTTGGAATGTGTTGTCACTGACAGTTGTGACACATCGGCATTCGGCAAGTCAGCAAGTGGCGGCAAATAGACCACATGATATTTATATCCATGAAATGGTAAGCGTTCAGCCTCAAAACACATTGAAGATGGCGATTTTTTTTTTTGTTTGGTACATAAGATAGTAATGTTCTCTGATATCTTCGACTTACGATACTATCTTATAGACCAAGAGGCCTTGTGCACCGAGATTTTCCCTTTGACATAAGATAGTAATGTTTAAGTCGAAGATATAAGAGACATGTAAATGGAATCACATCAACAACACACTATAAAGAACAAAAGCATCATATTCACCTGAGAATAAAGTAAAAATAGAAGCATATTCAAATCCACATCAAAATAACCTTTATCCAAAACTAGTTGGGAAAGCATATTCAAATCCGCAGCAAAATTTTGAGTGGCAAGAAACCATATTTTAGGAAACCACCAATTAGTAAGGTTTGTCTTAGGAAAGAGCACAGAAAGGCAATCAAGGAGAATTGAATGATTAATGTAACAGATTCCATGAGAAGCAATCAAGGGAAATTAAATAATTAGTGTAGCATATTTCGAGTAGGGCAATCAAGAGGAATCAGGAGGGAAAGTTGACCTGATTATAAAAAGGAGATAGAGAGAAGATAGAAGCAGGAAAATAAGTAGATGATAGTAAAGGATTGTGCAGGGTCTCTCAAATAACCTATAGTATCTTTTACAGTTTAGTCTTTATTGTTTATTGCAAGTTTATCACACTAGATGGTTGAATCCATCCTTATTTCAGCTCACATACACATTCCTAATTGCAGGCCTGCTACTAACAGAATAGTACGATGGATTTAGCCGAACTAAAGAGTGTTTTGATTCAGTTTCTAACACAATCAATCCACAGATCAGCCCACATTTTTCTTACCTGATGAGTACGTCCAGTGATTGGTTCACATAAAACAACACTTTGAGTACCAGTGGAACTAATCCGAGTAAATTTCGTAGAGGCAGTCTTCCCCTTTGCAGAGTCTTTGACCTTCATTAACAAAGATATATTCATTCAGATTTATCACACAAGATAACTTCATCTCATTCCACCACTCTGTATTTTACTCATCAAGAACAGAATGTATTAAGCATCAACTTCATTTTTCTTCCTGACAATGTCAGTTATTACCGAAATATTAGAATAACCAATATAATCACCAATACTAAGCTTGTTTTTTCTTTTCTTTTTTGACATATGCCACTAAAGTTCTAGAGATCAGATCATTTAGCAATGACAAGGGAACACATGGTGTTAGTTCTATTTATGTTTTTTATGATGCCACTCATGTTGAGTTGGAAGATATAATTGCCTAGTACTTTGGTTTTGTGATAACATTGCACTGATTTTAGATATATATTTTGAATTGTGACAAGAGCAATGTTGTGTGATTTTGTGAAACTCTAGACGTAGATATTAAAAGGTATGACAATTTATTTGAGCTGAAATTCAGGTATGAATTGCAAACAGGTTGCACTTAACATGTGTGTTAGATGAGTGCAAGTGTTAAATGATTAAAATGGGCTTAAGAACTTAAAGGAAGGATGCTATATCAGTCCTAAATAGTTGTTAATCAATAAAGGTTATCAAGAAACCATCTATATCACAAAACACCTAGCCAAGGTTTTAAATTGCAGTTGCAGTTGTGATTATTTTGCAATTACACAAATTGCAAATCATTGTTAGAAGATGTAACTGAAATGACTGCAATTGCAGCACCAAACCACTATTTAAAACTTGCATCCAGGTAAATGTCTATGACCATGGGGTACCTATTTCAAATTACCAGGATTAAGCATGAGACCACAAACAACAAGAATCAAGGTGCAGAAATCACTGTAACACCTATTTAGTTCAAAAAGACTACAACATCACTGTTGTTACTGTAGATGAAAAGAAAAAGAAGATTATTGTGGTGTCCTTGTAAGCAAAAATCACTGTAAATGAAGAAAATCTCAAGCGACTGTTTGAGGACAAGAGGCAAACCAGGTATAAATCCTTCTTTGCATGATTTTCTCAACCCCTAAACTCATTTATATGACTAGTTCTTATAATGTGCATCATTGGTTTGTGCTATGGATTTGATTAGGTTTTTAAAATTTAAAAAAAAAAGGTTGCCATTGTTTATAGAGAACCAATTCTCTCCCCTCTTGCTTCTATCAATATGTCACATTTAGAAAAGATCAGACAACTAGGAAATAAGTGCCTCCTGAAATTTAATGTTTCTCTGTTACATCCAGGTAAAAGCACTGGTAGATAGAAACTTAAAAATTAGCCATAATGTGCCTTTGCAGCATTTTTTTCCTTTTTGATAAAAGAAGAAACAAATTAAGACAGACAAGATTATAAATTAGCACTACTATCTTAAATGGAGTTTAAGAAAAACGAAAAAACAAAATTCTCTTACAATAAACCACATAAAACCAAAGGCCTCACCTCTGCTGTGCTCCTTCCTTCTCGAGCATTATAGTCTACATTTGCATCAACAATTAACTGGAAAGTAAAAACATTAGTCAAATGAGGAGAAAAGTATCTCAATCTTCACTGATAGAACAGCACTTAATTATATGGGTTATATTTATCATATGTTACATAAGATAAACAAGCTTCCTACACACACAAAGTGGAGGTGGGTCCCACATCTATTTTTTCTCTATCCTCTTACATGTGGGTCCCACTTATAATTTTATTTCTATAACATGAGATAACCATTTTCCTACGACATAAGATAAATATAACCCTAATTATATATAGCTAAAATCAAACATTCTACAAATGAAAGTTCACTGAAGAACAAATGCCTAGATTCTCAGACTGAACTTTCAGTTAACCAAAGCCTGTTTGGTTGTTTTTTATTTTTCAAGATTCTAAAAATAATTACTCAGCAGTCAACATGCACTTCTTAAAATTCAAACCAAGTACAACTTTTTAAAAGTTTTCAAAAATAATATTTCCAGAACAGCTGTTCTCATGGTGGAAATATTGTAATTAGAGATTTTAATTTGTTGAATAACATGGAAACAAAAAGCAAATGATTCACTCCGTGTGATAAATAGTGGAGGCTCTATTATATAGAGCAACTATAACAGTTACATAAGACTAATTTAACGATTTCAGACTTCTTATCAACCTATTTTCAATATTTCTAACATAATTAATGGTAATCTTATAATGAACAGCAATACTGCACTGATTTGCCCAATGTGACAATAAACAACTTTGGTTGCACAAACAACAACTTCTTAGACAAAACTGCAGATCTTACTTCCATATTTTGTTATTTAGCCACATCCCCTATCTAAAACTCTCTCAAACCTCATAAACAGCACAACCGAAGCTCCTCATAATTGGGTAATTTATGCATCTCAAGCAAAGCTTATCTCTTTAGGCCCATGGCAAAACACATCCCATAACCGACTAGTTTCTTTCTCCAAGAAACAGATTCACTCAGAAGATCAACTGATAAATTATTTCCTTGGTTTTGTCAAATATCAACATCATCATCTTTATCCCAAACTTGTTGGGATCAGCGGTTAATGAACCCATATAAGTAAGAATGGATTACTTGGTTTTGTCAGATATGAAAGAGTTATTTGTTAATGTAGGCAGTTTCCATCTGCAATAGTATATAATGGGATTCTTCAATACGTCCAAAAAGCAATTATTTACTACTAGTAAATAGATGCGAGAAACTTGGCAGAATAGTAAATATTTATCCTTATGAGCAGGCCCATAGTAGTTAATTGCGCCACAATAGCGCCACGAGCTGCGCCATATGGGGGTTGCGGTGCCTCGCTGCAAGAAACCGTGCCGCACCGCGCCAGAACGCAATAGCGACCATTGCAATCGCATTTGCGGCCATATTGCTGTCATAAGGCAAAATATCAATTTTGTCCTAAATCTAAATGTGCAACAGAAAAAATTTAAGGGTTTTTTAGTCTATCCACGTCTCTCTCTGTCTCTTCTGCTATCTCTGCCTTTAAAAAATGTTTTTTTTTGTCATTATTTCTGTCATATATCTATTCCGCTACTTCCGCAACCGCAACCCGCTATGACGCTATAGCGTTTTTCGAGGTTGGCCGCGACATGCCACAATCCGCATTTGATAACTATGAGCAGGCCTTGATAAAAAGTATGAATCATAATACATTGGATCATGTCACCCAATGGTTTCTACCATTTCAAAGCATTTATGGGCAAAACTGAGCAAGTTGTTCAAAACTGATTTCAAACCTAATATTTCCAACTCATTTTTTTTCTAAATTATATAGTTTTGGTGTCTCGAAATTGTTATGGAATTGTGCAGAACTATGTAGGAAACCCAAAAAGCAAGAATAGAACCCAACATGCCCACAATATCTTAAAATCAAAAGAAGTACAAAATGTGTAAATTTTGATTATCACATGCAGCTATGCCAACTTTCTCTTTCCAACTCTATCTTTTAATTACTTTTCATTCAGTTTGTGAATATCAATACTATCTTTGCAAATACTGCTGACTTAAAAAAAGGACACTGTTTATTATGTTGAGGTCTTCAAATGTCAATAAATCGTTAAGCATGCCCGAAGAAAAGGATATCAGACATAATCAACAAAATAATCCTAATGCATAATATGTTCAATACTTCAATTAAATATTATTTGGGTTCATCTCATAAAAGTAGCTCTTTTTACATCCAGCACGCTATGCTAGACACAACCCTAGTTCTTTATCCTAGCTTGGGACAAACTATGTGAACATACATAGGCGGAGTTCAAATTTGTGTTCATGAAAAAAGAAAGAAATTAAATGATATCATATTGTTATCAAATATGAAATACAAGCAGGGCTTATTTCTTCAATATCATAGTAATTATGGGTATATATAACATAACTTCTCCAGCCCAAATAAAAAAATACCTCATCCTCAGGAAATTCTCCAACTACTTTTGCTATGTACTGTTTCCGGACTAAGCCAGCTTCAATCTGTAACATTCAAATTCTACAGTTATAATGTATGTATAGAAAAAAAGTATCTATATGCAGATACATGCTAATTATGTTTGCTATATGCAAGTTCACTGTTCAAAGAAAAAGAAAGAGACTAACATGTAATCTAGTTAAAAAAAAAAACTAACATACAAGTACAACCAAACAGAATATACCTAATACTTGTATTTTTCTGATGCAATATTTCAGCTGCAATATTTTCATTAAGCAAAACAACGGAACCTCCTATGTTTAGTCGAAACACTTACTATTATTAAAGATAGAAGAACAAATATTATAAGAGAAGAAAAAAATGAAGAACAAAAGGAAAGTCCCTGCCAAAATTTACCTGTTGCCTAAAATTGTCTGCTTTTGACCCATTTCTAGCCAAAATAAGAAGTCCTGAGACAAGACGATCCAGTCGATGAACAGCTAAGAGGATCATGTCAAGGGAAAATGCATGTACAAAATGGATAGATTCTCAGATGCAAGGGTATGCAGAAATATTGATTGCAAGAGAGAAACCATATTTTATGCTAATTGGAAATTGAAAACCTTATTAGCATGTGAGACTTATCTTTATGATGATTACATAACATACTTCCAAAAAGCATTTTTGGATACGAAATAGAGGCGCCAACCCATGCTCTGCTTGAAGGATGCCAACAACAGTGTTCTTACGATACTGACCGCATGGATGCACCTATGTAACAGCTAAAATTCACAGCTTTAACATATATGAAATACAAAGCAAACTATCATTAAGAAGCACCTGACCTTTAGATTGGTAACTAATAGAAAATCCATTTAGAATTTAGGACTTCTTTTTGTTGAATTGAAGGAAATAATTTAAGTGACATAAAAGCATCATTTTGTTTGATGTCATTGAGTTACTCTATAATAAGCAAATTATTAGAATAATATTTTCAATCTTTTGCAGATGCTACGGTAATTGAAAATCCAATACAAAATTACATATCCATACAAGGTCCACACAAACACAATAATTTATGCTTCTTGCTGTATAAATCCAAAAGAAGACATCATATGACTAGCATATATAGTTAACAGTTCACATCTTGATGGAAAAATAAAAGTTATGAAACAGCAAGAAGAGGGTTAGCTCACTATGTATTACACTTAACATGACAGCTTTATAACATAGGCACTTCACTAATCCACTTGTTATTGCTTACTTACAGGAACAGAGGCTGGCTTACAAACAGTTAGCACATCTGGTTCTTTTCGAAGAATAGGTACATCACAAGCCATCACAGGTGGTTCATGCCTAAAACCATAGTGGCATCAGCTTCAAGTTCTATCAAATCCTTAGTAGTAAATCATCAAGTGCAAAAGCAAACCTGTGTAAGAAATGGCTTATCTTTTGAGATGATTTAACTATGTATGAAACTGGCACCATCTCACCATCAACTTGAATCCTTCCACATTTCACTGCACTAACCTAAAAAAAAATAAGAAAAAACAATCAATTAGCTAAGAATCCGGGGCAACATCATCTTCACTGAATTTAACTCAAGAAGAAGAGTGTGAAGTCAGTGAATTATATAACGCCATTTGTTTAAAAAAGTGTTAAAAGCATTTATCGCGAATGAAGAAACCTTAATAACTACTAAAGGCCATTATTCTGAACCCATCTTTTCTTTATAGGAATGGTACCCAACTATCCATCAAGCATCTGATTTGCTGCTGGTTATGTTTAATAGAATTTCACACATTTATTTTGAAATGAGCATTCAATAAATGACTTATAACTCACATGGATAACATTCCTATCAGGTTACCATAGCAATTCCCACAACAATAATGCGAAACTTCATTGTTTACCGATAGTGTAAAAAGTTCATAATGGATCAAATTTAAACTCATTTTCAGGGTTTTAAGACTTGTCAGGGGGCATATCACCTAATGACTAAAACAAAAATATTAGGAACCAAAACTTACAATTAGAGAAACAATCAAACATAAATTAGTAAGCGTGGGTTGTTCTTACATAATATTCATAAGGTCGACCTTTAAACTCCTCAGCGAACAAATCTACAATGGTTTTCCCTGCCCACCGATTTTTAACCTGCCATCAACAAATTGAACATCTCTAGGGTTTAAACAGGGTTTTTACATTTTAAGTAAAAGAAAGATTTAAAAATAAAAAAAAATGAAAACGAACTAACATGAGCGATAAATTCGAAGTAGTATGGTTTAACGAATCGAATTCCTGCACAAATTTGAACAAGGATGTCATCTTTAAACACGAGAAATTCGACGTTATCATTGAAATGCGCGGAACCACTGCGATATTTGACGTTACCGTTTTGAAATATGTAATCTTGCGGGTGCGGGGGATTTGCTGGGGTTTGCCACACGATATCCATGCCTTCCTTTTCTTCTCTCTTCCGCTTCATCTTCCTTCTTTTAAGTCACACTATCGGCGTGAGGCAAAGGTTGCGACTTGGAAGGTAGTCCCTACGAAAACGACAGTGTTTACAGGTGCCAATCCAATAAACAACGTCGTTTATTGTGATGTGGACGAGGGTTCCATCTTTGGTAATTTTAATTTAATATTTTTGTAAAATATTCTATAAAAAATATATAAAAAAATTTAATTTTGTTTTTCTTAGTGAAATAATATCTATACATAAATATATAAGTAAAAATATAAGAAAAATTTTAATTATTTATTCAATAATCCTTGAAGAAATGGTTCTATATTAAAACTATTAAAAGTTTCGCTTCTTATTATATCTTAGAATAATGATATTTATTATTAAGTATTATTTATAGTGCATATTTTCATAATTCATAAAGTTTTCACTATAGGTAAAAACTAAAAAGACACCGTTTGATTTTTCCAGTAAAAAAATAGTTAAACTTTCAACTTTTTTCTTGGGGCAAATTACATGATACCAACTTCTACTTACGTGTCTTTTCAAAGAGTTCCCTTATACTTTCAATTAAAAATAATTACTTTCCTTACACAATAACATTGAATCAATTAAACATATTATTAATTTTAAGACAAAATTAACCTTATATTCAATCACCACACCCATAATTGCTCAAGCTCTCGTCATCAACCACCATTTTCCAATATCCATCCATCTCCAATTAAATTTAAAAAAAAATAGTGATCGCCATCATAAAGATGAAAATCGAACCATGGATGAAAATTGAAAGTTAGCATATGTGAAATTAACTATTGAACTGCATCTGACACTAAAAAAGAAAAGTCTTCAATAGGCAAAAACAGAGAGAGTTGAGATATGCATCAAAGCATATTGCTTGTTGCAAATCTAGTATGCTGGTGCAAGTATAAATATTATTTGTTTTTAATTGGTTGATGACAAGATTTTACCTTTTTTTTCTCGTTTTTGTATGTGCTTCAAAAATGTGATTATGAGAATCACTAAGTTTTGGTATGCCATAACTTAGTTTGTATGCTTCCAGGAAAAAGATTGACTCAAAGTTGATAAAAGAAAAACAATCAGCCCAAATTTGTATCATGACATTGGAATCTATTTGTTAATCTCTGTTTTTGCTTCTGCATAAATCTTCCAGTAGAAATGAAGCATCTGAAATGACATGGAGACTTGTATTCTAAAAGCATGAAGAAAACTGGCTTTTCTTTTAATTTAAATTGAAAATTTCATACACTTTCGCATATGCTAACTTTCAATTTTCAACCATCTTCCCTTTCTATCTTTGTGATTTTGGTTACCATTTTTATTTTTATTTTCATTTAACACGCATAGACGGGTATTGAAAAAATGGTGATTGATAAGGGGGTTAAGAAGCTATGTTGCACCGATATCGACACGACAGGACACTCCGCTACGTTAATTCTAAAAAATGTTAAATTTTGACACGTTAAGACACGTTTTGATATTATATAATATTTTTAATTTATTTAGTGTATATTATATTTAATATTCAATAATTTAACAAAAAAATAAAGCTAAACTTATAATACCCATAAATTTTGCAAAGAAACATAATATATCCCAAATGTTTATATTAAACTCAATAAAATCGTAATCGTAATCTAACGAATCTAATAGTTGGAACTCAAAATGCAATGCAATGTAACCTTTGAACCTTTTTTGAGTCTTTGCAACGATTATTGGAGTGTCGGAAAGTGTTGGAATGTCGGTGAGTGTCGAGAAGTGTCGGACGCGACACGTCAGAATTTTTGAAGTGTCGGTGCTTCATAGTTGAGAAGTTATAGGAGTGATAACTGAGCACAGGGTTAATTTTATCTTAAAATTCATAAATATATTTAATTTATTAAATGTTATAGTATAAGGTGGGTAATTATTTTAATTGAAAGTATAGGGTATATTTTTGAAACAGGGTTGTATCCAATGGCTATGAAATTTTACAGGGTTGTATCTCTATGTGTTAGCTACACATAGGTCCAAACGGCACTCGATTTGGAGCTCTGTAGCTCAAGATATCGAATTTTTACTGAAACAGATTCGTTGTTGTCTACATATCCGGATATACCATATCTGGATATTTCGCGACATTGGCCAAAATCAGTATCCTAGCACGAAATTATCCATTAAAATATCATTTTTCACCTAGATACATCTATCGCATCGACTTAACATGCATTTTAACATTTAAGTTCATCAACCAACGTTCAAATTATCAAAACTCATAATTTTACATCTTCAAATCATGTTATTTTCATGAAAACACAAAGGAAAGTGTTGAGGCATATTCCCATGAGCTTCAAGACAGCAAAAGGAAGAGACTTTTAAGGCTTTAACACTGTCTCTGTGACCATCCAGTAAGGTGCACGAAAATGGCTTGTCAGATGATGGTTCTTTTCCATAAAGATGGTCCCTTGAAGCTCTAAAGTATGTAGAAATGGCTCTAACAACTCAACAAAAGAGAGCAGCCCCTCAACCTCACCAAACAGAATCTCAAACCCTTTAAGATGGTGTTTTTCTCCTTTCACATCACTAACAACAAGTGTTTACAAGGTGAAAGAGGAAGAATCAAGACTAAAGATGGTGTCTTGGTATTTTTTTCTTGCAAGGAGAACTTTGGGATAGTGTGGGAGAAGGTGGCAGCCAAGAACACATGAAGAAGCTACGTAGAAAATCAGAAAACTGACCTAGGTTTATGTGTAATGGCTATTTTATATAAGTATGCCTACTAATCCATAATATTAGTTCTAACAGCTCCGCTAATTATCTTTCTACAAAACTTTAGATTCTGAACCTAGCCATTTTTCTAGGAATTATCATATTTTTCTTATAATTTTCGCAGGACATTTTTGGTACGCATTTTATACATAGCCGGTATTAGTTCTGACATCGACACTCATTATTCTTACTCCAAACTTGATATCATTGACCAAGATATTTCTCTAGGAATATTTATATTTTTATTATAATTTTTCGGAATACTTTACCGGTACGCAGTTATATCGTGAAGCAAAATCGGTATCAGCACTTTTCATTAAAAAAATAACTTTAACCGTTATTTGATTTTCTAAATAATTATCTTATCATAATTATGCATAGTCTTTATCAAATCCATGCTCTGGCATTGATAATCTTATTTAGTTAATTATTTAACGATGCAGGTTCTTACAGTTCCTCTTTTGGACCCTTGACATTAGGCCCAACCTATTGGGCCTGTGCAAGTCGGCCATAACAGACTCCAACAATTCACGTTCTTGATTTTTCAATCTCTAGTTTTGTTGTTTAAGACATTCTAGGATTTGGAGGTTGATGACTATAAGTTGTTGGTTTAGAATTTGGTCAATTTGTGGTGGTGAGAATAGGATTATATTTGTTATTTTGGCATTTTCTAGGTGGTTTTGGGATTTTGACATCTTACTCTTAGTATCAATAATGTTTATATTTTTTGTGTAAATAAAAGTTTATGATTTCCAATAGACAACACCAATGATCAGACCACAAATAGTGAGTTAGAGGTGGCAAAACGTGTCACGACTCGTGGGATAAAACGAGTTGCGTACGTGTTTGAGTAAATGACACAAATTAGTGTTGTGTCACAGGTTGACCAGCATGGCCTGCCTACCAATTCGCAAAAAAAAATTTCAAAAAAATAAAAATAAAAGTTGAAATTTTGGTGATTTCTACATCACGGGTTAACCAACATATTTTATTCAGCTTTTCCCTTTTATTTTTAATTTTTTAGGGAAAAAACAAATTTTCAAATTTTTCGGGTCAACCCTTGTGACCCGCAACCTGTGATGAGTCATGTTTGGATTTCAATTGTTGACCTGCAAACAAAAAAAGTGTTGTGTACTGGTGAGCCAGTTTGACATGCGGATCAAACTTGACACGACACGAATTCGACCCTCCAATATGTTTTGCCACCCTAGTAAGTCTAACCACTCACAGTTGAGCTTGGTCTACATATGAAGATGAAATGAATGGAAGTATAGGGATCTCTGCTCTGTTGCATGAATGATATCAGGGAGATAATGATCTTCAACATCGCAATTGTGTGATTTGGGTGGAACAAGAGGGGTGGGCACCTACAACACACTTTGAAGCTTAATTCAATGTTAGATTAATGAGCTTAAGTATATGGAAGGAAAGATGATTGTACTTGGGCTTAGACCTCTCCTTTTATAGTATACGGCATAACCTGCTTATTGGTTCATTGTGCCATGTCAGCAAGATGAAATGATTCTTATATCTCCTAATTAGTTGGCTTTTGACGCTTATTGGTTCACCATGCCACGTAAGCACCATGCCACTTTGACACTTAAGTCAATGTAAATGGCTTTTCTAGTGTACCTTTCCCGTGGGTTGCTTCTTGGTGGGCTATGTTGCTAATGCTTAGCTGGAAGCTTGTCTTTGTCGTTCAATTATTGGTTATTAGGGAGGTTTATGAATCCTGCATTGCTAGGTACTTAATTGTTTGTTCTTTAGAATGTCTTTGTGAGATTGCGTGTAAATGTCTTTAACATGTTTCCTTATTTAATAAATTAAATATTTAGTTTAGATCTTTAACTTATAATGGGCTATCATTTTATTGGGCCTTTTTATCTCTTCTAATATAAGTTTAGATTAGTTTCTTAACTAGATATAGGATAGTCCATGCAAATATTTTGTCAAGAAATGGATGGTAGGAGGTTAGATACATGACACAAAAAAATAATTTTAAAATGAAAAATAATTTTAAAGTGAGAAAATAATGTGGCACTTATTTTTATAATATTAATAAATTAATATTATAATATATTTTAAATTAAACAAAATATATATTTAGGGCTTTATATTTCTCTAACAATAGAAGATCAGCATCATTTCTTGCAAAGAAAAGCAAATTGGGTCCCACTAATTTTTTTTTAAATTAGGCACGTTTTTCAAACTGTGAGTGATAGGAGATCAGCAACTTCCTGCAACATGAGAATTAATTTTGCCATATATTTA